AATTATTAAATTTAAAATTTTAAAATTAAAAATAAAATAATCATGATATATACAATAAGCCGTGCCGGTAATTCTATTTTAATTCTATTTTGTTCATTGCAGGGCTTTACCAAGGAATTCACAACTCTGACCGCGCTAATTACTCACCATTCGGTGATGCCGGAATTACTGCCATGCCCGTTGTCGTTAAGCCGATACAACCCTAGCTTTGTGAAAAGCGATTCCAACAAAGACTTCGCGGACATCGATTCGGACCCCGATTACAATACTTTAGCCGACTTTCGTAAAATGATGGCTGACCTGAACGTCTAGAATGAAGCTCTCCTCGCATTCAGGACGACCTGGGGGGAAAAAAAGAAAAATCGATACTTTCACCGAAGCTCTTCAAACCGATACCAGCCAAAGCGAGTTCTCGTTTCGAGGGAGAACTACGAGGGAAACTGGAACGCGCTTTGCGCACGAGAGATCGCTTAAACGGCGAGTGCAGGCATCAAGAATTCACGAAATCGAATGTTGAAACTGTGTTTCCCTTCGTCGTAAATCGTGTTCGTCAACGACGAGTAAAACATTGAATGAAATTAACAAGAAAGACACGATCGATTAACTTGCTCTGTAACAATCCATCGCACGTTCGAGAATGAAGGAGAGTATCGTACATCTTGAATGATGATTCTGTACACTCTCGCGGTGATATGTAATCGTAAGTCATCGGATAGTTATAGGAATACGTAGCGTAAGTAATTTAATGATCAACGCCATTCATGGAAGTAACAGCGAATCAAAAGTCGGAGGACGCACATCAGGGAAACTGTTTTCCTTAATTTCTTGTAGATTGAGCCACAGGGTTTGCGTTAAATTTCATGACTAAAACCATCGACGTAGATTCTACTCTAATTAAATTGTTAACAGTCCACCAGCGTCATTGGTATTTGTTAATACGTGTTTTTTGACGCCAACACTGCGATAGAAAATTTTGAAAGATAGCTAGTTTGCAGCATTTTTCACGAGCTAGTTCATTTCGATCGAATAGAAGTTATTAGAAAAAAAAAAAAAAAAAAAATGAGATACCCCAAGTGTATTTTTCGATATCAACGTGAATGTCTTTCGAATGGTTTCTTTGTTCCGGACAAATGTGCGAAAAACCTTATGATGTTAAATTTAGTTTAAAAATCAAAGATTATTTGACAGCGTTGGGTTACTCAACAGTGATGAAGTGGATGCAGGAAAATGATGAAATTTTTTTTAAAAGAAAAAGCAGCATCAAAAGAAATCTAACGTATTAAATCGAAATAACTTTTAACGGGTTGAATGTAAGGCAACGCAATGAAATTTTTCATAATTTTCAATAACAAAATTCAATTAAAAGGAAAATCTTTAAACACTCGAAGACTTTGCCATTAAAACTCCACGCGGTTAAATAGTGTTTTACAAGATTAATGTAAAAATGTGTTTATATGTATATAAATTATAATTATTGTTATACAATACTACTCATATTTAATTAAATGACATTGACGGCAGTTAGGAGGGACTATGAAACAATGACAACAGAACTTTGAAACTGACTTTGAAAAAGTAATTTTACACTGATAATTTAGTTGCTCGACTCACCTAGTCTTGTACAGAATTTATGCGCGCATAGTTGATATTTAAAAAAAAAAGGGGGGGGGAAAAAGAAACAAAATAGTTATATAACTTTACGTGTGTATTAATCGACATACAATTGATAAACAAACAAAACTGAAAACTATGTGCCGCTTTTTATACGCTCAACGAAATGTAAAATTTAAAAAAAAACATTTCAATAGAACACCTACTTTTCGACTTCTTTCGTTTTTGTATGAAACAACAAGGGATAACAAATTGAAATCTAGTTAAGCACCATCGGATACGTTAGACCAGATTTTACAAACGACAAAACGTCGTTGATTCGTTTTACAAACATTACAAGTATAAGCGAGAGTCCCGCGGTAAATGATAAATGATAAAATAGTATTTTAATAAGAAGTTTACTCGCGTTCAAATATCTGGTACTAAATTAAATACAAATACCCTCTCTCTACCATGCTAGCATTTACGTATAAAATCGATAAATGTGTCTTGTATTCATTTATTTAAACCGTAACAATCGAGGAAATGTAACATCTGTAATGCGGACTTGAAAATATAAAATAAGCAAAAAGTACGAAGACTAAAAACTAAAAACTAAAAACAACACTTACCTATGTACCGTCTTTGACAAAAACATGAAATAAGACTTCAGCATGATTTTTAGCTAGTTTATGGACATTTATTGTACTTTGACACTGAGAAGAAGATACAGAATGATCTTCGTATTGCCAAATTGATAAACATTTACTAAGATAAATGCGCAAAGAAAATAGAAGAAAATTAATAAATCGTTGTAAGCTACGCTAAACGAGACATTAATCACTGCTTGAAGTTTGTAACGTTTTACGAATTATTATAGCAATGCGTTGTATAATTTCAATAAAATTATTTATTACAATAAATATTGAACGTCTTGATGTATTTTACTCCACAATGTATATCCATAAAAAGTATTATTCATTAGTAATGGAATTAATTTCATTTTGAAAGCTAGATGATTAATATTAACCTTCGTATGCTTAAATATAGCATAAAAAGAGTAATTTTCTTGTTAATTGACTCAAAATAATAGAATATAGTCCTATAGTCTCTTTTTATTTTAATCAATATAAAAAACTGTAATGCTGTATTACATAATTGTATGTTATACATGTCGCTGTACAACATGTCTTTTTCTTTCCGAAACAAAAGGTACCGCTCCTTTTTTAGAATGAGCACGTCTATTGGCTTCCCTAAAATATAATAAATAAATGTAATAAAAGCATCTTAAAAATTAATGTAAAGACATAGTTTAAATATCTTGGATCTTCATACGTACTTTCGATTACTTTTCTCTCGAATTATACGCAATTCATTCTTTGCATTATAAATATATTTCGGAACTTGTCTATGTCGAGAAATTCGTTTAACTTGGGGATGTGCAGCAAACTTTTCTTTCAAAGCTTCACTGTAATATAACGCTGCTCTTTCTCTGGGTCTCAACTGTGATTATACATTTCATAAATTTTAAAATGCTATGCAAAATCGGTAAATATAACTGGGAATAATTACATACCACACCCAATTTTTCCGATGCCCTTGCTTTCCACAAACGAATATTCATTTCATCACTGCCACTAATAATATATTTATTATCAAGCGACCATCCCATGCACGTTAATCTTTGCATGCGTTTTGTATGATAAATTTCTCGAGAATGACCTTTATTTGCTTCAAAAATGCGAATAGATTTGTCGTAGCTACCAGATACAAATTCTTTACCAGTTGGTGAATAATCTACATCAATTACAGCTGCTATATGATCCATGTGCACATTTACTGGTGTTTTCAATTTACGAATGTCATAGGTATAGAGACTAGAATGATAAGATAAAAAAATATATTATGCTCAACTTCTTTCTGTAATTTCAAACGATACGATATAACATTTTTCTTAAACTTACTTGTAATCTTCATTGGCACACGTGAAAGTAACAGCCTCCATGGGATTCCAAGACAATTTATTAGTTCTTAATCTCATAAACATTTTCTGCAAAGGCCCTGTTTCTCTGGCGTCATATAGAATTATACTACGATCACTTGCACAGGCAGCTATAAAATTTATGTATATTTACAATATTGAAATATGATCATTGCTAGATGTAACAACCAATAATTTTTACCAAATAAATTAGACTGAACAGGATTGTATTTAATATCGTATAAACTGTCAACACCCCATTTAAATGTTTGAATTGGTTCATTCCTAGTCTCTTCCCATAAATGACATACTTCGCCACATGTTGCAAATATTGGTTGAGTTTGATGATGTGAGATTCCAGTTATTATAGTCTATAAAATATTCAGATATTATGAATCAGTACATAGCAAAGTAATATTTATTTTCTTTAGTTTTTGATATCCTACTTTACTAATAACTGTATTTATAGGTTCTTCTTGACTAAACGACGAATTTCCCAACTTCCAAGTTTTAATAGTTTTATCATCACCAACAGAGATAAAATTTTCACCACTTAGGCTGAATACAATTCCACGTATTATGCCATCATGTGCCAAAAAGTTCCATATACATGTTCTATGTGTAAGATTCCACAGTCTTATTTCTCCATCGAAAGCTCCACTAAGTATAGTAGACAACCGAGAAGGATGCTTACATAAACAAGACACACCATCCTTATGGCCTTCTAAACATCCTATGAAAGGTTTAGCAAATACTTTATCTAACTTTACTGAATTTAAAGCCCTTGTATACTCTCTTGCTGCTTCGAAAGGATGTAATGCTGGATCATAATTCCTAGGTACTAAAATGTAAAAGATTAGTCGTTAATCCATTTGCACATTACAAATGACGATACAGAAAAATATAGAAATGTTTATGGAAAAAATTTAATTTACCATTCATCATATTTCATTGAAACATTATATTAAAAGCTATAGACAAAACTAACCTTTATATATGTCACGTTTTGTTTCTCTTAGAAATTCATCTGGATTCCGTGTTAAAACTTTTACTTTCATTTTGCAGATACTTTAATTGAATAAGATTTTAATCAATGCATAAATAATTAGTTTATTACAATGTCTCGCACGTTCAGTTGAGTGAAATAAGATACTTAGAAATATTACACGTGACTTGGAAACAATGCATGTGACAGTTGTAACCTAGTGTTAACACTTGACTATAGTCTTAATCAAGTCAGGGTCAAAATTGACGTGTATAACGAGCACTCTACAATTAGTGACGTGTATGACGAGCAATCTACAATTAGTTATTTAATTGTGACTTGATACATATATGTGTATATATATATATATATATATAATGAATATATAGTACACACACATACACATATATTTACATAGTCACTAGTACCTTAGGTTAGTAGTAAACGAATAAAGCAGCAAGTTGGTCGGCTTATGAACATAACTAAATTCGTAAAAGTAAGTAATAAATTTTTTTGAGCTGTCATAATTTTTAAATTAAAATAATTACATAAGTCTTAAAACTTATGAAATAATAAACATTAAGTAATTTTGATTGATTACTGCAGAGAATAGTATAGAATACAATGATAAAATACAAATCAAACCATCTTATAATTCATCAAGGTCAAAATGTTATTGAAATACACATGATTATTCTATTTTTGAATATAATTTAATTATATATATGAAAAGTATTCTAAAAATTATTAAAAATATTTAGTACAAAACAATAATATTTTGTGGTATTTTTAATTTTACCTAATGATCCTAACATTTTTTGGAAATAAATTGAGAAACTCTGTAAAGATGCATATAAACACTATGTTATATTAAGATTTAGATTATATCTTAGCATTTGAACATTCTAATGTTTATATTGTTTGCATATATTTATACTTAATTATTACTTTATCAATATATTATTTTATGACTCAAATAACTTGTTATAATATTATAATTTTATGAATTAATACTTGTAATATTATGGTTTTATGAATGTTGATGTAATATTTTGAATTTTTACATTTGTAAAAATTTGTAAAAATTATATTATTAATAGTACTAACATGAACAGTACTTAAGTATTATCAATTAATATTTCCTAGATCATTACTTGTTTCCTGTAATTATATAAGTTAAATTCCTAAATATAACAGTGCTAATAAATAATACTGTTATGAAATTTTTGATATTTGTAGAATGCTCTGTATAAGATTAACAAGGCAATTTAAATTATTAAGGATACGGCAATTACATTTGACTTCTATAAAAAATGAAAATAAAGTTAGTGAAACATCTAAAACTACTGAACCGTCACAATCTACAGTTAAGAAGGAAAAGGTTGACTTTGTAACAGGTACAAGTTATTTCTAACTTCAATATCCTTAAATAGAATATATTATTTTAATCAAAAAATTAATTTTAATTAGAATATAAATTAAATTAAATTTTAATTAAAGTATATGAAAAAATTTTGCTTAGGACCACCTATGCACGCTGTATCTAATTTCGATAAAAGAATATTGGTTTGGGTCAAACGATTTCCCAGTATTGATCAAGTACCAGATTATGTCTCGTAAGTTTTATATTTAAAATAACAGTTCAAAAATAATGTCACTTTTAACATTAAATACAATAAATATTTCTTGTATTTTGATTATTTAGTTATCAATGTTTACAACATGCACATACTAAGGCAAGAATTCGTGTATGTTTTATGATGATGATTGTTGGAATAGGTATTTGTATTACAGCTATAATAGTTGGAAAAAGAGAAGTTGCTAGTGGAAAAAATATAGCAACAGAAAGAATGAAATGGTATATGGAGATAAAGAAAAAAGCTGAGGAAGAAAAAAGAAATGCTGAAAAAGTACAATAATGTTTCACTTGGTAATACATAATGATTAAATTTTTTTTTTTTTAGTAATATTTGAAACATTTTCTTGACTAACTGTTTTCGTTTTTTATCATTTCTTAATGTTATTAATTTATTACAAAAAATAGTTTTATGCGATAGATATTGCTCCAGTAACACGATTCAAGATGTGTAAATTATGTATAATAAGTATCACGTATTACTTTAATAATTTAATATATTTTTGTAATAAGTGCAAATTAGATCATAATAATTTTGAAATGTTGAAACTTAATACTCTATATATATAAAGATATTGTATTAAACGAAGGAACAGATCTAAAAATATTTTAAAGTTCCTCAATTTAATATACGTAATCTGTGTATGAAAAATTATAACAAACATAATATAATTGTACTACATAAATGCAGTAACTAAATATATTTGTAATTAAATTTACAATCATACAAAAAAGTGATATTTCATCATCATCAAAGTATTTTCAAAATTAACAACAATATTAAATTTCTATATTTGGTGGCTTGTAAAAGCTACGGCATTTTTTATAGTAAACATCAACTGTATGATCCTTCACAACTTCTTCTACGTTTAACTCTGCTTGCAATAATCGCACAGTATTTTGTTCTTTCCTCAATGCTTTGAGAAGTTGCAGACTATCATTGCCATTGTCTCTTTCAAATTTTAGTTGCTTCACTTTTTCCTTCGATGCATTTAAACATCTCGTAATGGCCAGTTCTCTTGTTTTATGGCCTGTTTGAATTTGTTCATATAAATCTTTACATCTTTCAGTAGGGTCAGCTTGCCCTTTGAATGATTCTGTTGGAAGTATAGTATTGAGCATATAAATGATTTTGTCATCGAGTTGCCGCATCTTTTTTAACGCATCCTGAAACAAAAATATCATTTCGCTGAACAATACCACGCATTACATTCGAAAGTAACGTGCTGTAAAATAATTCATTTCAATTTAAATCTTCTAATGTATTACTTTTCATTGTCATGTTTTGTACATACAAAACGTGTCGATTATTACTTCATAATTAAGGTGATGTTCAGGTGTACAAGGATCTTTCGACTTACATTAAAATTTTCAAGTCTGTTTTATAAATTATACATAGAACTTAATTAAATTTAGTTTTATCCTTAGTCACTTTACAAGGTTTTTCAATTATCAAAAATGCCATTTACCGTCTGAAATATTATGTAAATCGCTAACCTTAATTATTTCTTTAACGTATCACATGTAGTTTTCTAGAAATCTACGATTTGACATGTATGTATAATTGGGACAATTAAAGTACATAATTCAAAATGTAGCCCATTTTAGACAATGGTTCATTTATTTAAAAAAAAAAATACCTGAAACTCTAAAAAGTCACCGCATCCTACACCTATAGTTGCCATTTTTCTAATATGGAAACTGGTCGTGGAGTTCAACGTGTATACAACCACGAAGAAAGTGCAGAATAGATTTGTGACCTTCCGAAACATAGCGTAACGTGTGTGTAAATTTTGAAAATCTTTATTTAAGCATTTCATAGATCAGATAGACTGGAGACAGAAAACTGAGACGATGCAATTACGAAAATTTATCAATTCATCACCTTAATTAGTTTGTTTTGTAAATGAAAATTTGATCAATTTATGAACTCTGGAATAGTGGTTCGCGTCATGTGGCGCTGAAATTAATCGATATCTCTGTCTTTGTTGCATATTAGTGCTTTCCTTGTCTGTCGATGATGCTGCCACCTGTACACCTTTTAAATTCTGCAGAAACTAAAATGATAAAAAGGAAAAATTCAGTAGATGGCAGCATATACAGATCATGTAGCGACATCTATTTAGTCTTATAAAAAGTTACCATGGAAATACAATAAATTATTGGTTACCATGTTACAAACAAATTGCCGAGAATATATATAATAGTAAATAAGAAATTAATAAATAGTCGTCAGTTTTAATTCATCCATTAAATTCTGTATCATGTAAACGTTAAAATAAATTATAAAATTTTCCTTTACGTAGTACAGTGACTTTATTTATTATCGATCATCGTTCTTACAATCACTGTCGGTAATAGACTTTACTTCTAATTGTGCCTGATAGATGGTAGTACCGACTTTGTCGATGTAGCGGCGCGCGTACTTTTCAAATGAGCGGAACAGCCGCGACAGCAAAAGAAGATAGAAGAAAAAATAATAATAAATATATTACAGTTCCAGTTGTAAAAAGATCGTCAAAGCAAGCACTCGGGAGATTATATCATTGTACATAAATTAAAAAGAATAATAGTTGTTGTGTTGAACCTCGTAATATTTATTAATTAAAAAAGGAGTAAATCTCCACATCAGCAAATAAAGACAATAGTGTGCGACTTATGACTTATAAAGACAATGTCGTGCAACAGACAAGAAACACACTATGCACGACAAAGACAGTAATATCGACTAGTTTTACCATTTCTAGCGTTTCGGTATCCATGATCAAATTTTGGATTTGCCAAAGGAACTAATTAAGAGGATTGATTTGCAAACTTTTGCAACTGCATCTTCGTTTTTAGACCCTTTCTTTCTATATTCCACCTATAAAATGTATATATAAAAATGCAGAAATTCTATATGATAGACTGAACTTAAACTTCATGCAAATTATTATATATTTCATTATAATTCCATTATTTTCCAGAACTATACTAATTCCATTATTTTCCATTCCAATAAGATTTATTATACATTATTTTTCCTTAACTATACCTTTCCTCCTCATTTTCAAAGATTGGAATCTTGGAGATTTAACGAAATTTCGTTTGTTTACACTTGAAGTGTAGACAAACAAAAACAAAGGAGATTTTATAACAGTGGGAGATTTTCAAAAATTTGACAACCAGTGGTGTGATGCAGAGGTAGGTCCGATTTTTAAACTTACAATTAATTTAAGATGAAACGTTTCAAATTTGCAGGAATTTTATTTTAAAAGATTATATCATAAAGATTATATTTTCTTTTCTTCTCTTTTCTCATAACATTAAAGGTTTACACTGAACCCTAAATTTTTTAAATCCTTTGCCATTAATGCCACAGCTTCTGCAGACAAAGGTTGCTGAGGCGCACGTGGAGGACCTGGATTGATGTTCGTCAGTAAAGACATTGCTGCTTTCATGGTCTCTATAAAAGTTCCTGTAACGTGATTGTACTAAGTTAAAATCAATATTTCTGAATGCTGTTGAGCCACTTAACATCGAAGTAAATGATAATTTATAAGTATTGATTATTATAAATATTAAGTTGATCAATTAATAGGTATTGACTATTAATTATTAAATTAATAAGTATAAAGATTCTCTATAGGCTCTATCGCAAGTAATTAATGGCTGGCTCAATTAATGAGAAATTCTGTTAAAGAATGATAAAAGAATGCGTTTCATTAATTTGGTAATATTTCAAGGTGATGAGAAATATTCAATTAATCTTGTACCATATTTGCCTATAGTCGTCAGAACGTCTGTCAAACGTTGTTGAGTTTTTCTTGCTTTCAACAGATCTCCTGCGTTTCCGGCTGTAAACGCGTCGACCGTGAGCTCTGGGAACATGCTTAAGCTTGTTATTATAAAAGAATTCATTCCTAGCGCGCAAGCAGCGTCCATCAGCTGAAACAAAATAATACAACAATAATAACGATTTTCTCACTGCTAATTAATTATCACGGGTCGCATGTGTAGTGTCTCACACTACTTATATTTATTATATAATTTTCAATGTTGAAAGCCGTGCGATTAGTTCATACAAATCAATGATATTCTGTGATGACACAGCGAATTTCATTGAATTTATTTTCTCAGTGTTGCCAATATTATTCACGAATATAATAGAATTGAATTGCATACCTCGTTATTTCCAAGGAATACCACGAATCTGTCATTGGCACGCAAAGCTCGAGCAGCCTCCTGCAAGTCGGAACTTGTGAATTTTATTCCCACGAACGTTGGAATCTCCTCCTCGTCGAGAGATTCGAGAAACTGGCCCATATGTACTGAAAAGTCGCCGGTACAATTGGAACGTGTGATTGCCAGGAATTATTAGAATCGTCAGTGAATTGTTGATTATTGGCTTACTATGAACATTAGTGAAGATCGGGATATGATAATATAGAAGTGGTGTGTTCGGAGCTGCTAAACTAACGAGTCTCAAATAATCCTTCAATTGCTCGGACGTGCTTGGTTTAAAGTATAATTCCGGCAGGCAGAGGATAGAATCTGCTTTGATGCTTTCAGCGTGTTTTGCCTTCGAACAAGAAGTCGTGTAAGTAAGTCGCTTGGAATTATAGAAGAGAACACCTCCATTTAACACCAGCCATTGTTGGAAAGAAATTGAACTTTTAACCTTATTAATTTTATTGAGAGATTAAAGTCCCTTGAGGGTACCAAATGAAAGTTTTAGCTTGTAATATCTTTTACGTACGAGTTCAAGAACATCAGGCAGATTTGTACCGCCTATTTGAATCATCAAGTGTTGCTTCGTTGTTTTGACAGCAGTCGCCCAAGCCTCGGCCACTAATTTCCTTTCACTCGTAGACATGCACGTACCTTCTCCGCTCGTTCCGTTTACTGTTAATTTCGTTCACCACAAGTTTACTTCTCAAATCAATCGAAGAATCTTTCGCGAATTTAAATATTTTTTAATCGCATACACACTGAATTTTTGAAATTTTCATTCTTTCGCTGATTGCGGGATACTTTGGTTAAAAATAGACTTAACCTCTACGTACCAAGAACACCGTTGACTTTCTTCTTTGCCAAATGGTCGGCGTACTGTGGTATGACTGACAAATTCAGAGTTCTGGTGCTAAAGTAAACAAATGGATGACATTATGATTGAACACATGTTGAATCTCTGTATTTATAGCTTTCTAAATAGTGCTACATTTGATCGTGAAACCTGTGTACAATGTGTATAACACAAAGTATAAATATAAATGAAAAAAGTAGAATCTCGCTGTCTAGCCAGTTTTATATAAGAACAAAAGAGAAAGATAAATTAGAAGTGTTAAAGATGTTACCTGTCATTATTGAACGGTGTTAATACAGGGGCGATCAGCCCCCTGAAAGTGAACAACACTCTCTACAATGAAAGCAAGTTTATTATTATCGGATAATTCATCAATATTACATTATATGTTATTATCGTTGTAGTGTCTATTATAAAATAGTGTAACTGCAATTATTGCATATTTATCATTTTATATTTTTAGACGCCCTATAAACTTTCCTTGTTCCCCTTATTATGCAAAACATCAGTTATGATTAACATCCAAAGCATCCAATTGAGAAAATACAGCAGCAATGAATTTTTATAAACCTAACCTAAACCGACAGAGATTTCACCGTGGTCGATTTGAATTGTCTGAACGTATGCAGACGAAAGTTTTAAAAAACAATTTGTGATGAAACAGTATAATAATTGTGATAGGTGTACGTACCGGCATTCTGGAACGTGAAGCAAACTCGTGGAGCTTCAATTGGAATAAAACTGTACATACGAAGGCGAAGAGGAATATATTTCAGCCGTGGTTCTGATAAGATTGTCTTAACTCGCTATCAAATATCACGTGTTATGCATTTACTGATATTGTAAATTATTTGCTTTATAATGCTAATAATATAACACAGTGTGTACCTACATATATATGTAAAACTTTCTTTACACTTTCATCTTTACATAATAGATACATTATATTTCTATATTTTTTTCTTCACAATATACAATATACTATTTCGATAATTTATATGTGTACGAAGTGGAGCAAGAGAAACGAAATTTGTTTTAATCTACAGAGTTGTTTATGCAGCTATAATATATCTTTGACGTTTGTTTTATCTGTATTATCTGTTTTACCGGCTGATATCAAAGGTCGAGGTCAATATCAAAATGACTAGAGTATTTTATTTATAAAAATGCTCTTCACGTTTATTTACATGTAGATCTTGCTCATTTAACAATGTCAATGATATATGTATATAACGCAATATATCATATTATCGTAGTGATAAGTAATATTCGTACAAGTTTTCAAGATGGCCGCGATGCGTTTTCCCTTCTCACGGGCATTACGTATTTGCCATTATTTAGGTATTTCTTTCGAAACGAGAACGAAGGACTACTCGAAAGTTTGCGTAATAACATTAAAGAGAATACTATTTAACGTTACTTGCTATAATCGTTTTCAACTGTTGTTGCCTTCTTTCTCCTCTAGTTCTCTTCTTCTTCCTCCTCCTCTCTTACGCTACGGTGTATCAGTGTATTGGCATACTGCATTAACAAAAGAATCGCTCGTTTATTTTTTTTTTTTTTT